TACAGTCGACTCTGGATATAACGAACCTCTATATAACGAACTCTGGATATAGTGAACTTAAAATTTTGAAATTTTTAATAGTTCGGTATAGAAAATGCAATTTCCCTTAAGAAAATATAATAACTTTCTATAATGAACTTTTTTTCCTTCCAGACCGTCAGTTCATTATAGAAAGAGTTGACTGTACTTTATATTCATAAGTGCACTTTTTTTATTATTCCCCAAGCGTCTCTTATAAAAGTTGAGTCTTTATAAAAGTTACTTAGAGTTTTAACTGTAGCACAATTCTAATTAATTTAAGAATTATTATAATTTATCCAATAGGATTAAGACTGAACCTCTTTTTTTTGAAACAACATTTGTATAAGTTACTAAATATCATATTTAACTTTCATAAAAATATATGAAATTATGCAGATGTCTCAGTACTAACCACTTTGCTTCCATACGATATAACGTTACGTAAATAAGATTATTATGTTTGCATAATTTGGAAGTTAATAATATAATAAAATAAGTGTTAAAATAGAGTATTTATATTGGATCTATTTGTTTTGTTAGCATTAAAATACATATGAAAAGGAAAACTCTAAACAGTGCCCTTATGCACTTTGTGACCTCTACAGCAAAATTAAGTATATAATAAAAATTAGGTAAGGCTAATGATAAACACAAATTACTCGCTCGGTTCGGTACGGTTGATTCCCCGAAAGCTATTTTCCCGATTCGACACTACATAGGATGAAAAGTTGCTAAAATCATTAATAAAATGTGTATCCTAATTCTGTGATGTCGAGTAAGTATCGTATAAAGTAAAATTAAATCTTTTGTTTACTTCATCATTTACTATATTTATGAAAATGGTAAATCTGAGTTCTCAAGAAAGTAATATAATAATAAATTGTCTAATATCTATGCCTAGAGATGTGCCACGTACAGTACTATACGTACTGTACGCGAAAATTTTTGACGATACTTTCTATAAACCAATCAAATCACTAGATACACACTATACGTACTATACATTATTTTTACGATTAAAGAATTAAATTCTATGATATTTTTTTAAATCATTATCATGATTAAAATGTGAGTTATAGAGAAGATCATGAATGAATGTAAGATCATACAAAATTATTAAAATAAATTGAGAATAATAACTAGAAAAATGCGATTTGGTTCTAATTCTCTATAAAAAATTTCAGTATAAAGATTGAAATGTCAGAATAATTTACTATCAATCATCCAACGACTTTAATATTAACAATTTTAATAAACATAATAATTGTTCTTTATATCATATAGTTTATTTAGGAAATAATGATTTCTTATAGATCTCTTTCACATTTTCTAATATCTCTTTCCTTACTTTTCTCTGTAATTTTATCCATTAGTTCTCATCCTCTTAAAAGAGATGATGACCCATGTGCCCTAGTTATAGCAACAGAGAATCCCAAGTACAATGATGTAAAAAATTGCTTGACTAGTTTCCCGTATGATGCGAATATAGCAAAATAGGTAAAATTTTAAAATAATGAGTCATTATAATTATGAATCATTGTAATTAAATCATCCTATTCATTGCTATTTTGGTATTTATTATTAAAATTAGACTGTCGATTTGTTAAAAAAGTACACCTCTGCTTTCTACGTGTTCTTTAATCAAGCCAAAGAGCAAGCAAAACCTGGATTTACATTTGAGCCAGTAGATATAATCAAAGAATTAGATAATATTATCGAGAGTAATCCTAAAACAGAATTTGAATTCATGGTATTTAATGTTTTTTAATCATTAAATATCCGATACTCTAATTAGAACTATAGATTTATTGAGATATATTATTTTATCTTTAATTGATAATCTAGGTATCCCTAAGAAATACTTATAAAAAATTGCGAGATGCACATACACAACTTTTTCCTTCTTGCTATGGTGCTTTTTTATATGACCAACAGTTACATTTATATTCCGTACTTGATAAACAAGGAAATCAGGTTAATATTAATGATTTTGATTACATTATATTATTGTAATATTAATTACATTTTTCTAATTATACTGTTCGAATATGACAAATGTAATAGATCATAAAGGTTTTTGACGATTTAATTGATCCTACGAATATTGATTGTGAAGTGACTTCTATCGATTCTGTCCCCACTTTTGATGCAATCAAAAACTTTGCCAATAATCATAGTTTTATCTCACGTGATCTTGGCGTTCGTTTAAATAATGCATTAACATCTATATCTCTAAAAGATGGTAAACCAGCGAAAATTAGATGTGAATTTACTGTTCGAGTAGATATTCCTGAAACTGATAGCATCACGTACACTTTAAATTGCCCAAATGCGAAGGTTAAAAATGTTACGAGGGAATGGTTCATTACATTTTTAGCATTTGACGAAGGAATGAAATATTTCTATAAAGATGTTTGCTTAAGTAGTGGAAATGAACGTGCCAAGCACAAAAGATCCCACGACGTAAAAAAGTTTGAAAATTTGCCATACATTTATCATCCCAAATTAAAAGATGTATTATCTAAAAGAATAACCAAATCTTCTGTTACATTAAGTAAAGCCACCCTAGTGCATGATTTTAATTACATAAAATTTTATAAATCTATCGGTTCTGATTTTGGTATTGTAGTCTTAAGTAATGGGGATAAAATGGATGTTTCTGAAACGTTAGTTGGATTTAAAACATTGGCTGAGGATTCTTCAATTAAAAAGGTATTTTCTATATTATAATATATATATATATTTATTTATTTATGTATTTTAATGACAACTTATTCTTTTTTTTAATAGCTTGTTATTGATTTATCAAATAATCCTGGTGGATCTATTGATTTTGCTCATTTTGTCAATTCACTCTTATTACATTCTAATTCTTTTAATCATGCATTCTTTCCTAATGACATAAACATTGAATCTGATATAATGAAAAAATTTATTAATTCAACTTTCAAATCACAGAATAATTTTTTCTCTGAATTCATTAACTTTGAAACTGGAAACCCTTTTAGTTCTTCCGAAGAGCTCATAGGATCCAAAAAAATTAAAAGAGGCGGTAGTCAATCTAGTTATTTCACAAAATTCATTCTTGACAATTTGCCTAAACAAATTGAATTACCTTGGGACACTAAAAATATGATTATTCTTTCAAATGGAGCTTCTGGCTCCGCCGCTGGCCTGATTGCTCAACATCTTCAAGAAGTTGGCCAAGTACCCATTGTTTCTGTGAGAGGATTTGCAAACTAGACGTTATCTTTTGCTTCATTCCCTGGAGGAACATACCTTGACAGTGATTTAATTACTGAATTTGGCATATTTGATTTACCTGCTTTAAATTCTCATTATGTATTTTTTGTTATGACCTTTACTTTCACTGAAACATATAGTTTTAAAAATCCTGATACAGTGCTAGAATTCGATTTTAGACCTGCAGATCGCAGATTATTTTATGATTAAAACAATATCAGAGATCCAAGTTTGTTATGGGTTGAGGCTGCTAATTTAATTAATTAAATTTTAATTCAATAATTGCTTTAAGGGTATGAGGCACTATTTCAAAATTATATATAAACTTAATAATAATTTTTTTTTATATTTAATTTTATAAAAAATTATATTAAGTAAACTAATTTTAATAATTAAGTAAAAGTTGTAGAGTAGGGTTTTCAGATTCTAATTATAGTAAAATTATTAAAATTGTTTATAAATATGAATATTTAAACATTAGATTATAAAATTATATAATAAAATTAACTTATAGATTTACATAAATTACCAATTAACTTTTTTGATTTTGTACTACCTAAGTGAATTTTAACCAACCTAAGTAAATTTTCTTTTTTAAAAATAATACAATGGTTCAAAATTTTAATATAATAGATAAATAATTTTATATATAATATTATAAATATTTTTATTGATTAATTAAATAATAAAAAATTATTATCAGTAGTATATATTGATTTAGATGAAATTTTAAAAATACTATTGTTATAGGCAAATCTGACTCTAGAATAATGAGGAATAAACATGTAAAGACACATGAAATACCCTATAACAACCATCATACTACAATGCCCATGACCCAGGACAAATCAGGTTCTTCATTAAGTGATGACATTAATTTATGAAGAAAAATCCACTTACTTAATTTGAAATACATTTGTCAAGGTAATATTGCCTTAACAGGCAAAGTCTATGGTTATGTCAATGTGTTATAATATGTTGAGTTGTGTGTTGTTGTTAGAGTATTAAAGTCAAATAGAAAAATGCTAAAGTAATAATTAATGAGTTGTAAAAAAAAAGAAAGTGTTTGTAAATAAGGATAAAATAGTTGGTAATAATAAGAAAAAAGGTATTCAAACTCTCTTTTTTTTCTTATAAATTCTTTATAAAAATGGTTCAAATTCTTTTATTATATGAAAGAATAGAATCATTTTGTATTGCATAATAGAAAACTGATGTTACTATTATTATTCTAATAGTGCTTTCTGTTTTTGAAATTTAATTATATAATATATTTATAATATAATAGTTATTTCTTTTTTTTTGTATTACTTCTTGAATTACCAATTTCTTATTTTATATATTTTATATACTCAATTTTCTATTTTATATATTTTATATAGTTAATTTTTTATTTTATATCTTATATATATAATATAGTATTATTACTATATATAGTTATTTATAAATGTAAGATTATTTAATATTGTAACTATAAATTAAAATTATTTTTCTTGTTGTTTATATTTTATTAATTTAGTTGTTTACATTAACAGCATTATTAAAGAATCATATTATTAGTTTCATTAGGTAAGACTACAGATCAAAAATTATCTAACAACAATAATGATTCTTGTAAACAAAGAACATTTACTTATTATTAATATGCAATGTTGTATATAAAGACAATTATATTAATAATTGAAGATAATAATATTGTAAATTTGAATACAAATTGCTAACTCTTTCCAACAGTTAATTATACCAAAATTCTGCTAAAGAAAATTTTAATTTCTTTATCAATTTATATTTAAATATATTCTCAAAACTAAATAAAATTGTTCTGCATTTAAATTTATATATACTTGTAAAATTTTACATCAATAACTTAAATATTAAATAAATTAATTAGTTTTTCTTAAAAACACTCTCAAACTACTTATACTTAAATTTAGTCTAGAATACTTATCTTGTTCACTAAGACAAAGTTGTTTAGCTTACTTTAAGCTTCATTTTGATATAAGTTTTATTCAAAATAGTCAAAATTGATCATTTTATAAGCAAAAAACTTCAAACAGTTACTTTCTTTAAATTTTTTAAAAAATTAGTTCTTTTCTTCTTATCTTTTCTAAATCTTAACCTCAAACATGTTTTAAAATACCTAATTTTATTGGTTCAATTAATTATCAATTAATTTATAATTATTTTTCTTTTAAGTACTTAATAATTTACATAAAACAAATAATTACAAATTTGTATTTATTCTAAAATTATATAAACTTGTGTATACTTTATTCTATTTTTAGCAAAAGTTATATAAGTTACAAATTGTACTACAAGCTATATTAGCTACACCAGTTACAAAAGTATTACAAAGAATGTAACATTATATAAACTAAATTTTATTTTTTTTTAAAGCTGTTATCGAGCTCTTTAATATTAATATAAAAATAACAAACCAAAATACCTATTTTAACAACTACTGAACCTGATTCTCATAACTTAGACTATTACTATAACAAATATCTAGATTGATTTGATATCAGTACCAAAGAATCTGATCTACTTACTTTATACATTTTACTGAAAGATGTTAATTCTTCAAAATGTGAAGCTAATAACAACAATATTACTTTAAAATGCCAACTTAACCTACTCTATCTATTTGTCTTTATAACAAATTCTACATAAATTTTATTTTCAAACACTACAAAATTACTCATTCTACATCTCTTTGACAAACCTCAAACTCTATTGCAATGAACATTTCTCTAACTACAGTTATTTCAAAAAACTGCTTTAACAATATTGTTGACCAATTAGCTAAATCATCTATTACCAAACAATAACAAAATCTTCAATTAAGCTTACAGATTTCATCTTCTTTATTTCACACAGATAAATCACTAATAGTAATCATTCTATACTCTCAATACTATTACTCTTATACTTTATATAAAAAAAAATATCTTATATATTTTTATCCAAAAATCATGACATGCATTTGACTATTCCAAAGCTATAATCTTTAAGTATTTTTTATTTCATTGAAATTGTGTTTACATTTCCAATATACTAAACTTAAAATTCTTCCTCAAAAAAAGAAACTTACAGAAGAACAATACTCTATTTTTCATTTTTATTACTTTTATAAACTTATTAAGAATAAAAAAATCAATTTTCTCCAAAAACTTGTTCTTAGAGACAAGAAATAAAATAAAATTCTAAACATATTTCTAAACAATAATAACAAAAAAATACAACAAATCCAACTTAGAATACTTTTAAAAATCTGAATTGGTTCTTTAAATATCTAATTATAAAAAACATAGAACAAAATATCAAACTTAATACAACACTTGTTTGGCAACTTTTTATCTTCTCAAAAGCTCACCTTCACAAATTTACTCCTAGTCAACCAATTCCTTCTACTTCAAATAGTACTCAAATAACTATAAACTATAATTCTTCTCAAAAACAAAGTTTTAATTATTTATTTAAAACAATGGTTACTAAAAAGCCAAAATTTCTTATAGACTTTCTTTGTTAATCAAATCTATTACTCTTACCTCAACTTAATATTCCACAATATGCATATACCTTAATACTTAAAAATTTACTTATTAAATTAATTAAACTTTTTTTTATCAAACTAAACTACTTACATATTTTTGTTTTCATTACTCAATTCTATCATATTCAATTACTAATTATTGTAAAGTAGCAATTAACTTTGCCTAACTATATTTATTTCTTTATAATAAATATTAAACAAAATACTATCAAAAATTTATTAATAAACTTGAGCTTTATTCTCTTAGACTATTAATAAAATACAATTTTGAATATAACATTCCAAAACCCTTATTTAGTATCTACAATAACAACTGTTTTACTATTACTGTTATTCTTAATATCTCTAAAACTAAGTTTTTTAACTTCTTTTAAATACCATTACTTAAATCTTATATCCAAAACTTTAACATATGATATATAGACTTTTTCAAAACATACCAAAAACAATTCACAGAAATTAATAAAAATAAAGTTAGAAACTATATTAAATACCAAATTTTAACTACATTTACTGAAGAATGCAAAAAACTCCTATTCTTGAATTTTCAAATCATAAAATCTACTTTTCTCCAAAATTACTTCTTTCAAACTACTAAAGCTGTATTCTTTCATGTTTATATATGTAAAAACAAAGACTACAAGCTCTTACCTAACAATACAGAATACATTTTCAAAAATATATCAACTTATTTCTTTAATAAATTTTTTGAAACTTTTCTAGCATCTCCAAAAGCAACTTAATTCCTAAAACTACATTATTTACTCCTGACTATACAATCTTTCAATCAAACTAGCAATATACAGCAACTTTACAAAAAACTATTCTATTCTATACTCTTAATGAACTCACACTTAAAGCAGACTAAAAGTTTGCTGAAATTAATAATTCAGAAACCAATCCTAAATGAACTGCATTCTATTTTTATTTATATCTTAAAGCTTATCTAAATATTGCAACTAAAATTAACAGTATTTCAGATTTTGAACTTAACAAAGCTTTAGAAAAAATTATTATACCTATCATTAGTACACATATTTTAGAATGAATGATTCTCTATTATTATATCCAAAGTCAATCAAAATTCTCTATCTCACAAATCCAACTCAACTATGATTTAAAATACCTTTTAGAAATAGAAAAATTTATCATTAATATTATAATATTAAAATCTCTTCAATACAAAATAACACTCTCTTTATGTTTTCAATTACAACTTATAATTTACTTTTTCAATAAACTCTTCGATAAATAATATAAATACAGTTGCTACTTCCAAAATAATAATGTCTTTTACTTAAAGTGTACCATTTTTAGAAGATAATAATATAAGTAAGTAGGCAAGAAAGCCTATTTATACAAAGAACTAAGCTAATGATGGTCAGACCCAATGTACAGGGCAGACTATAGTATTCTCTGCAACTGTGAAAACTGAGTATACAGTGAGCATATCTATAAAAGAAAAATCTAACTTCTCAGATAACAAATTATTATATCCTTCTAAGAATTGTTTTTTAAAAAATTTTTTATATCTATTTTCTAAAAATTACAAATATCTAACATTTTTATCAATGCTCTAACAAATTTTAAAACTACTAATATTGATTATAAATCATTAACAGATTATCTAAATAATACTATTAACTTATCAACTACC